CGAGCAACGTAACGCGCCTTGAAGACAGGCGGAGAACCCGGCGGCCGCTTCACCCTGAAAATCCACATGCCACTGACGATGTTCGCCCCAGGTGGGGGAACCTCGTCGACGTAGGTGCCTGTGGACTTCCAGGAAGCCATCTCTGCGTCCATGGCTGTCTGCCACTGAGAGGAGTAGGGACCCTCAATTGCCTTTGAGTAAGAGCGCGGGGTCGGGATGTCTGGTGCATCCGGGTCTCCCTCAGGTGCAATCAGCATGGACACGAGATGAGGTACAGCAGCTGCAAAACACTCAAAGTCCTCTTGCCTGTCCTCAAGGACGTCCGTGCCAAGAGCACACTCACCCCCGACGGACGGAGGACAGACAGACTCAGACTCAGCAACAAGACTAGCGGCGTAGTCAATGCGACAGGGGGCAGCAAAGTCAACAAGCTCAGCAACTAGGGCAGACGCAGCAGTGGACGGGTCAGTGACAACAGTGGCTACAAGACGAGTGTCGGTAGGACTGGCAGCACGAGCAAGGTCTGACGGCGGGTCAGCAACGTCAGGAAGAGAGGACGCAGGAGGAGATAGCAGAGGGACACGCTGTGGACCAGAGGAAGGACGAAGTGCCATCTGGTGCGTGCCAGGGATAGGAGGAGGACGCGGACGCGGAACACGACGACCAGTGCGAACAGCGCGAACAGGCGACGCAGGACGAGACGCAGGCTCACGACACTCTATAGGACCTCCTGGCTGCTCATTGTAAGGCAAAGGAGCAGGCAGTGGGTAGGCTGGCTGTAACTACGGCTGCGACTGGTCAGGTGGTGGGCACAGCAAGGGAGGAGTAAGGCCAGTAGAAGGCGGGAGACCAAGAACCTGCTGAAGCAGTGGAACGAAGTACGGTCGCGGCCGCACAGTGCCTCCAGAACCAGCACCGACAGCACCAATACCCCCAGCTCCAGGGTCTCCAGCTCCAACGCCTGCAGTACTACCAGCTCCAGTACCTCCAGCAGCTCCAGCTCCAGTACCTCCAGCTCCAACTCCTGCAGCACCTCTAGCTCCAGTAGCTCCAGCACCTCCAGCAGCTCCAGCTCCAGCACCTCCAGCTCCAACTCCTGCTGCACCTCCAGCCCCAGCAGCTCCAGTACCACCAGTACGAGCACCTCCGGGACCAGCGGCTCCAGCACCTCCAGCAGCTCCAACTCCAGCAGCACCTCCAGGTCCAGCAGCTCCAGTACCTCCAGCTCCAGGGCCTCCAGCGGCAGCCCCCCCAGCTCCAGCAGCGCCACTCCGAAGGCTCCAGCGCCGAGAAAACCACTCGCGCAGCTGCGGTGGAGAGAGAGGCTCCCGCCGTGACGAGGCACCTGTAGGACCTCCAGCAGACAAAGGACCTCCAGGCTCAGCACCCCCATGCTCTTCACCCCCAAGCTCAGCACCCTCAGGCTCAGCACCCCCAGGCTCAGCACCCCCAGGCTCAGCACCCCTAGGCTCAACACCCCTAGGCTCAACACTCCCAGGCTCAGCACCCCCAGACTCAGCAACCTCGGGCTCAGCACCCCCAGGCTCCGCACGCTCAGGCTCAGCACCCCCAGGCTCCGCACTCTCAGGCTCAGCACCCCTAGCAGCACCACCCCCAGCAGCACCCCCAGCAGCACCAGAGTCGACAGCGACCTCGACAGGCTCGACAGGGTCTACCTGAGACACACCTGAGGGTGCAGGACCCAGAGGGGGGAGGGGGTCTACCGGAGGAGGACCTGGTGCGAGGAAGAGCGGCGGGGGGGGGGGGAGAGGTGCAGCGCGGTAGGGGAAGAGACGGTAAAAGGGAACCGACTCGTCGAACGTGACGTCCTGAGAGGGCAGGACACGGCGCGAGGTGGGGTGGTAAAACTGCCAGCTAGGCACGTCAGGGGGGAAACCAAGGAAGACGCAGGAAATGGCGCGGGAGGAGAGCTTGTCCACGAACGTATCGCGGACAAAGGCACGAGAACCCCAGACCCGGAACACAGACGCATCGCCAACCTTCCCCGTCCAACGCAGTGTAGGCGAGGTCTCTGGCAAGGAGATACGGGGCTAGAGGTTGAGCTGACGCGCAGCGTACCGGACCGCAAACGGCCACAGAAAATGGGGGGCAGCCGCATGGATCATGGAGGTACGAGCGACCTCCATGACTAAGCCAATGCGGCGCTCAGCAACCCCATTCTGCTGCGGAGAGGCCGGAAGCTTGAACGACTGGAGGATGCCCTCCCCACAACAAAAGTCCCGCAAGAGGTCGGAGGAAAACTCACCACCTCTGTCAGAGTGCTGACGCAGGACCGGAAGGTCCGTGTGGAACCGCTCGCGGAGCTGGAGACGGACAACGCGGATCCAAGGGATCAAAACATCAGGGACCTCCCCCTTGCTGCGCAAGGGGAAGACCCTTGGTTGCGAACGGCTAGGCAAGCAGCAGCGTCACGGGTAAGCCACTGTGAGCGAGTCGCATTGTCAGCTGTGGCGGGAGGGGCGAGAGAGGCTCCAGACGTGAGGTAAAACAGTGAAACGCCGTCCCTAGAGTCGCTCAGTAGGAACAGCTGTAAGTCGTCGAGCCACGCATCGAACTCTATCGGGCGGCCCTCCGGATCGAAGGTGAGGACACTGAGAGTGGCCATAGCGGGCAGAGGAGGAAGGCGCGCTAGCAGCAGGGCAGCACGCAGGCAGGGCAAGGCAGGCGAGCACGCTAGCAGCAGGGCAGCACACAGGGAGGGCAAGGCAGGGCGGCGCAGCAGCGAGCGGCGCGCGGGCAGGGCAGGGCGCGTGGCGGCGAGCAGCGCGCGGGCAGGGCGGCTCGGCGGCGCGGCGCGCAGGCAGGGCAGGGCGCGCTGCGGCGAGCGGCGCACGAGCAAGGCAGGGCACGCGGCGGCGGGCGGCGCGCGGGCAGGGCAGGGCGCGCTGCGGCGGGCGGCGCGCGGGCAGAGCAGGGTGCGCGGCGGCGGGCGGCGCGCGGGCAGGGCAGGGCGCGCGGCGGCGGGCGGCGCGCGGGCAGGGCAGGGCGCGCGGCGACGAGAAGCGCGCGGGCAGGGCGGCGCGGCAGCGCGGCGCGCGGGCAGGGCAGGGCGCGATGCGGCGAGCGGCGCGCGGGCAAGGCAGGGCGCGCGGGCAGGGCAGGGCGCGCTGCGGCGGGCGGTGCGCGGGCAGAGCAGGGCATGCGGCGGCGGACGGCGTGCGGGCAAGGGGGCACGGCGCGACGGCGGGCGGCGCGCGGGCAGGGCAGGGCAGGGCGTGCTCAGGCAGCGCGACGTAGGGCAGGGCAGGGCAGCGCGGCGCTAACACGGCAGCGCGACGGGTGGGGTAGCGCGACTTGGTGGGCCCTAAAAAAAAAATGGTCCTAGGCTAGGACTTGCTCTGAAACCATGTCAGAAGTACGAACGAGAATGAATGAACTAGAAACAAGGTGGGTACAAGTACTAACCCAAATTGGGTTGTACCCCATATGGGCTACCCCACTATAGCCTACACAACATACAACATACCAGCTTGACACTAATATCATTTTTTAAGCTGAAACCACTCAGACGGTGCTTGATATGCTATTCACTAACAACAAAGCATCTTACAATGAACTTCCAGGGATAGTGACTGTTTAAAAAAAAAAAAAAAGCATTACATGCCATGCATCCAGGAGATACAAAACAACCCCTGGAAGTCCGATACACTAAGCACAATGCAAGTAACGCGATTAGTAGTTAGTATTAAACAAAACAAGCAAAGCTTGTACATAGGGTACGTAACGTACCTGGTCCTGCCGCCGCGGGAAATTCCAAAAGCATGCCCATACTTTCGTCACTGAGCGATACCAAGGCGAAATATGCCGATAAGTACACACCTTGTCCAAACCGCGAACCTCACCAACGAATGTCGATCTGCAAACAAACATAGCAAGGACGTAAGTTCCGCCAATGTCACAAACAATTTGTTGTGTGATGCAATCATATGCATTCACGTCTGTCTGCCTCCCATCATGTGTTCGTGCGCTGCATGCGTGGTGTGAGCGTGTGCAAGAATTTACGTCTATATGCAAAGAAACAAACATATAGTAGTCCAAACGCTCTGGTTTCTGTATGGGAGTCTCCTTGTACTAACTATACAAGCCTCACAAAAAATGAGCTCAATCCAAAATAGAGAGATAGGGAAATCATCATTCTTTCTGCCAGCCCGATACTTCTGCAACGTCGCCTGGTTTTGCGTTTATGTCTATAAATCAAGCTACTCTTTTCCAAACGCTCTGATTTTTGTATGGGAGTCTCCTTGTACTAACTATAGGACCCTCACAAAAAATGAGCTCAATCCAAAATAGAGAGATAGGGAAATTATCATTCGTTCTGCCAGCCCGATACTTCTGCAACGTCGCCTGGTTTTGCTTTTATGCCTCAATGCATGTGTATTTTTGTTAGTAAATATAGTTCATTTGCTGTTCCAATAATTTATGTTGACAAATCTAATTACTACATCAAGACAGATCAATGTCATTATTGGTAGTACATCTATCTATACCGCAATGCAGCTTTCGGCATCTCACTGTAACACATGTCAGCATGTTATCTTCGACGACCATTGACCTCTCGTTTCGAGAAAACATTAGTGAAGCATGGTGGGCGGCACATACGGCATTTGACGATTTACTTCGCTACCCTTTTCCCCCGGCCACCCCAGTTTGCCGCACTAACATAGTAGCAGCACCCCCCTTGATAACCTCAACGCTGATTCGTGGGCCCATTTTGCTCGTCGATTGTCTACTCGCACTGCCATTTCCCAACCGCCAGCGATTAGGGGCGCCTTGAAGGTCGCCATCCCAGGCTGATGATATGATCGATGCACCAACACCCATCGAACGATCCTGTCCGCACATCTCCTTGATGGATGTGGCGTCGCGTTGTCCGAAATAACAATCTTCCCGCTTCCAACCAGGGTTGCTAGGGGGTGTCGTTCAATCGATCACATTTAGCCCATTTTTGTCGAACCTAACAATGTCAACCTCTTGGCCGTTTACGCCTGGGCCTCGCTTGACAGACTTGCAGAAATGCGTCGAACGTGGGTAGTAGCGAGCGAGTCATCACCCAGTGAGCATCCCGTCTCGCAGGCATATAAGCTACTCATTTCCACCCACGCATGATCATACTCACTACTGCTCATTGCCACTCTCGGGAGGGGCGACGACGGGGAGGAGGGAGAGGCGACGGCGGGGAGGAGGGAGAGGCGACGGCGGGGAGGAAAGGAGAGGAGACGGCGGGGAGGAGGGAGAGGCGACGGCGAGGAGGAGGGAGATGCGACGGCGGGGAGGAGGGAGAGGCGACGGTGGGGAGGAGGGAGAGGCGTTGGCGGGGAGTAGGGAGAGGCGACGGCGGGGAGGAGGGAGAGGCGACGGCGGGGAGGAGGGAGAGGTGACGGCGGGGAGAAAGGAAAGGTGACCGCGGGGAGGAGGGAGAGGCGACGGCGGGGAGGAGGGAGAGGCGGCGGCCGGATGAGAGAAGAGACAGCGGCAGGATAAGAGGGAGTGGCGACGGCGGGGTGGGAGGTAGTGGAGATGGTGGGATAGGAGGGAGTGGCGATGGCGGGGAGTGAGGGAGAGGCGATAGGGGGGTGGGAGTGAGAGGCGATGACGGGGTGAGAGGTGGCGGCTGGATGGGAGGGAATTGGGACGGCAGGGTAGGAGGGAGGGGCGACTACGGGATAAGAGGGAGAGGCGACGGCTGGGTGTTAGTAAAATGCGACAGCTGGATGATAGCTAGACAAGAGGATGGGCGATGGTGGGTTGGGAGAAAATGGCAGAGAGAGCAGGAGGAGGAGTTTGAATTGACAGCTGGGAAGGGAAACGGAATGTAGCGCACAGTACCAAAGTGACAGGCAGAGGGAGCAGAGTAGAGCAGGTGCTCAAATTCAAGAATCCAAGTCAGCGGAGAATTTGAGTTGACAGCGGGAGAACGGAAGGATCTGAGGCGCTGGCAAAAAAAAGAGTGGTTGGGAATGTGTGGCGCTTGCAAGGTTTTTTTCTGCCAGAGCAAAACCAGGCAAGAAATGGGTTTTAAAATAAGCGTACATTGTTATGATGATGCTGCGAATTGCAAGCTAAATTCACGGGCACGTGACAAAAAAAAACGCACACATTGAATTTGGAACTGTATCACGTGACCATACGCGTGTGACCACGCCATCCGCGAACATCAGAGTTACCTACAAATAAACAAACTCACTAAACCAATTATGATATTGCAAATAATCAGATGTAGGTAAAAACACACACCTTAAAAAAAATGATTAGAACAAGTAGAATATCAATCTCTAAATCAGTCCCAATTAACTAATGCTCAAACGTGAGAAAATAATGTTTATCGTATTTTGTAATGAGGAAATAAGAATCCCGTTATAAATAGGAACATATTTGTTGCTTCATATAGTATAGTGCATTTTCCTGATATCTTTCTATTGAAATAAGTAACGCCTACGCAACCCTTCCGACGTTAACGTCGAGTCTTGTTATGAACGAATAGAGCAGACGGATCTCGTTGTCCCCGCCCCAAGTCCCTGACCATGAACGTTGGTTAGTCCCACACTTCCTTGGAACCATGTTCACGACGCGGTTGGGACGCCACGACAGCAGCATATGGCGTGATCCGCGTCGAAGTTCTTGTTTTGTTTTGAAATTAAACTTCAGGCCGGCCTGGGAGTTTGAGAGGAAGAAAAATAAAAGAAAAGAAAATAGCCTTGCTCCGCCAGGCCTCGAGGCATCGCTTCCAGACCTCGCTTCCAGGCCTCCCTCCCAGGCCCGGCTCGGATTCGCAGGCGAACATCACGTGGTACATAAGAAGGGCGCCACACAAGCAAGGAGTCGTCCGATCTACACCTGATCGCTCCCACGTCCCCCTCTCGCCCAGCTTTCATCCTCTCGTCGCAAATACATTCTCTCCGCAGGCCCTCCGCAGATCTCTCTCACTTTCTCTCTCGTCGGACGTCCCGTGGAGGTGTTGAATTCCCGTCTCCAAGCTCAGTGCCGCCGGACCTAGTAGTACAGCCACGGATTTACCCGCGGCGAGAGCCTACTTGACCAACTTACGGACGTACCAACAAGTCACTCTCAATGCCGTTCATCCAGTGGAGCCCCATCTGCCTCCCCCTGCTTCTGCTGCTCCTCGCGGCGGGTAAGCGGCGAGCCCTGCGTTTTACGAGTCTCGCTCACTTATTTGAGCTTGTCTTTCAGCGCGCCTTGTGGGGTGCTGTGGGGTGTTGTGGGATGCTGTGGGGTGTTCTGCTGTTCTGCTGTGCTGTTGCTGCTGCTGCCGCTGCTGCTCCTCACAGGTACGCTCGCTCACAGCCGCATCCGCCGCGCTAATGACCCCGTGTCTTCCCGCGCCTTGTCATGCGCTGTGCTGTCATGTGCTGTGTTGTGCGGTGCTGTGCGGTGCTGCTGCAGGCTCGCTGGACACTCGATGGGCGACCATCCGCACTGCCACTCTTGCGGTAAGCTCCGTTTCAATATTATCCCTTCAACGCCACCTCAACCTCACCCTTTCTGAACCCTTAGCAGTGCATGCACCATCGCACGCACCACCATCGCATGCACCACCATCGCATGCACCACCATCGCATGCACCACCATCGCATGCACCATCCGCGCTGATGCTCGCTGGTGCTCGCCATGGTCAACAGCAGGTCGTTGCTGAACTGACTCTGCCGCACACCCTTATGGCTACCTCTGCTCTCTGCGTGCTCTCTGCCTCCGAGTGCGCTCCCCTCTTCCCCCCCCCCCCCCCCCCCCCCCCGCCCCGCGCGCTCCATCCCCCCCCCCCTCGCCGCATCCCCCCCCCCCCCCCCGGCGTGCTCTCCCCCACCCGCGTGCTCCCAGGACGCCAAGACGGTGGTGGTGGGGCGGAGTCGCTCCGGCTGGGATGCGAAAGTGCGCACGTGGCAGCCCCCCATGTGTGCTCTCTTCCCCACCCCCCTCAACCCCCCTCCACCCCTCTCCACCCCTCTCCCAGGACGCCAAGACGGTGGTGGTGGGGTGGAGTCGCTCCCGTTGGAGTACGAAGGTGCTCACGTGGCAGCCCTCCCTTGTTCGCAGCGGCGACATTGTCGGTCAGTTCCCACTGCTCCCTGTCGTTCATACCGAAACTTCCTTTGCTCTCTCCACTCACACGTCGTCTCTCGCTTCCCAACCCCAACCCCCCCCCCCCCCCCCCCCCTCTCCCCCCACACACATACGTTTCTCGCTCTCCCCCCCCCCCCCCCACACACGCGCTCGTTCTCTCCCTCCCTCTCGCTCTCCCTCTCTCGCCCTTGCGCTTGCTTTTCCCCAACCCAGTGTTCCAGTGGAACTACTCGGGGTCGCTGCAGCGCCGGGTTGTCTTGTGAGTCGTCTCAAAAGGTTCCCTCCCTCTCTTTCCCCAACCCAGTGTTCCAGTGGAACTACTCGGGATCGCTGCAGCGCCGGGTTGTCTTTTGAGTCGTCTCAAAAGGTTCCCTCCCTCTCTTTCCCCAACCCAGTGTTCCAGTGGAACTACTCGGGGTCGCTGCAGCGCCGGGTTGTCTTTTGAGTCGTCTCAAAAGGTTCCCTCCCTCTCTTTCCCCAATCCAGTGTTCCAGTGGAACTACTCGGGGTCGCTGCAGCGCCGGGTTGTCTTTTGAGTCGTCTCAAAAGATTCCTTGTTCTCTGCCTTCCTCATTCCCTGTTCCATGTTGCATCCCCCCCTTTCCTCCACTTCAGTGCCCATGCACCCACCCTTGCATCAAGCCTAGCAACACCAGTCCTGTGGTTGGAACCAAGGCTAATTTTTCGTTTTTTGAGATCCGGATGCCTCTGGGGCCCCCACGTAAACATACGTAGAATTCCGGATCTGTAGAAAGGCTACCCCTTTTAATCCGAATTCCATCAAGGCATACCCTGAGGAACATCCTGTGGCCCATCGAGTCGTAACTGCTGCAAAGTACAAGTGAAGAACACAAGACGTAAAGAAGTACTAGAGAAAAGCACTTCCATCCATTCAAGGGCCACTTCATGACTCGAGTTCCTAAAAGAATTAACACGCTAACAGGCCTACACACCCACTAATACTGAGACTGAGTGCGGAAAACACGAGTGCTGTTAAGTTGCACAACAGCTGTTTGGCATCGCAGATGTGTCTTACTTAGGGACGGACCAATCGATTTCGACACGGATGTTTGCTAATATCACCCTTAAGATTCAGAATGTTTCTGAGAAATATTCTTAATGTATCAGGATGATGTTGAAGTCGTCCCCATCAGAATCCGGATCTCAGACGAAAGCATCTGAAATGTTGAAGAAATTCCGGATGTGCACCCTGCTACCGTGAGCCCTGGTCGGAACTGTCGCTATACTGTTGGTTATGCTCCCGGTTCTAACTGTATGCTGTGGTCGTGCGGTCGTTGAGGTGGCAGCCCCTCCGATAGGTCGTCGGGGAAAATCTCCCTGTACTGCTTCAGTACTGCTGCCAGGTCATCCGGTACGTCGGCGAGCAGTTTCTGCAAATCACTCGGTTTGTCTGCTGCCTCGGCTTCCCGGATGTCAACCGCGTACACGTCAGCTCCTACCGCTACGGCGCATTTCATCGTGACCGCGTTGACTCGAACCGACGAAGACTCAGGCGAGCTCTAGCGAGGTACAACGATGTTGTTACCGTTGACTCGCACAGTGCAGTTGCCCGTCGTCCAGTCTTTTCGCGGGTTGTGTCGTCGCAGCCAGTCACGGCCGAGTAATACATCGGTTCCGTCGAGGGTCATGGCCAGCATTTCCTGGGTGAAGGTGAAGTTACCCCCGCAACGAATCCGAACTTGGTCCACGCGTTCCATTATCGCCAGTGGCGTGCCGTCGACCAGTCGATCTCAAGTAAGCATCGGTGGTGGTATTAATTAAGTTGTGGCTAGCCCTGCGGAGATAAGCTCTACAACGGGAGCTAGACTACGGGGAAGCACGATCATGAGAGGGATCGTAGCGTTCCTTAGGTTCTCTGGTACTTGCGTGTTCACGGGGTAAAACGACAAGAGTTTCACTAGAGAAAGTTCAGAAAACAATGATGGCAACAACATTGGCAAGCATGACTACATCAGGTGCAAGTTTCCCTAGCATGCAAGCAGGTTGCAAGTCGACGGCGTGCCAACGCTGCAGCATGGCGGCTGCACAACGTTGCACCCACAGGACAGCAGCGCACCCGCTTCGCAAGTGCTCGCAGTTGGTTGGCGTACTGTGCCCCGTCACGTGCACAGCGCAGACGCCACGCCGACCACGTCCCCACGACTGCACCTGATCCGCCACGTCGACCTCGGGATACCATCTTCGAGGTCGGCTTTGCCAGAATCTCCTAGGCGACTATCGCGCACCTCCGCAGAGCCCCGTCACCCTGGTTACTTGGTCGACCGGGACACCACTAAGTCGGAGTCGACTTGCACGGAAGTATCCCGTCAACAGCTGTACGTGCTCGGCGACCACCCAGGTCGACGACCACCAGTCGACTTCACCAAGTCGGCTTCCCTAGGTCGGCGCCATGAAGTCGGCGCCCCTCAAGTCGACGCCGCGAAGTCGGCGTCCTCCCGGGCCGACTTCACCAAGTCGGCCTTCCTCCAAAGTCGGAGCCCTACCCTCATCGACCACCGGGTTGAAGTCGGCCGCCGGCGTCCCAAAGTCGGTGGCTTTGCAGTGGCCCCGTGTAGGTTGACAAAGGCTGTTGACCTGCGCGCCCAAGTCGGCGTGGCCCACTGCAGCAAGTCGGGTGCACTCCTCGCACACCCGACTACGAAGTCGGCTCCGCCCAAGCGAGGACGGGGCCAAAACACAACTCCCGTTGACAAGCCCCCATGTCCACGAATATCTTAACGAAGTCCGTGTGAAATTTCCCACTAAGCAGTATGGGATTATCTAACCCTGTTCTCTCCTTGTTCAGCCGGGTGTGGTCGACCGCATGAATCGGCATTGTCACTCGGTGAGGGTCGGTTGGGTCAGGCGAGCGGCGTGTCCTGTCAGTTGAGGGCCCGTCTGCTACTGACTCCCAGCGTTTTCCTACTGCTTGGTCTGTTTCTTCTGCTCGGCTCCCTCTTTTCCCTTAGCTTCCGGGCATTCGCTTTTGCGGTGCCCCGGACGATTGCACGCAAAGCAGCGCCCTTTAAACGGTGCAGCAGTGGCATTCGCGGCGACGGCACGTATCGTAGCCTGCTCGTTCATCCCACGAGTCCGGTGTCCCCAGTTGCTGTTATTATTGTAGGACCATGTCCTCGGTCAGCGGAGGAAATCGAGTTGTTTTCCGCCATGGCGAGAATTTCGTTGGACCCTGTGACGTCGCGGAGAGGATTTCTTGCGCGATTTCGTTTTTTAGACCGCCGACATAGCTATTGATGCGCTCGGCTTCACGCATATAGCCCACCTGCTCGCACAATGCCATGAAACCGCTAGTGTAGTCCTGGACGGAACCGAGCTGGCGCCAAGTGCACAGCTTCTGGCGCGCAGAAATTGACGCAGCGATTTGCTCGAATCTCCTGCGTAGACCCGCGCATCACACGTCCCACGTGCGATACTGGACGACCTCCACGAAATACGACGGTGCCCAGGGTCCAGAAGGTCCTTCCCGTGGCGGTAGAGCCTCGTAGTCGCTCGGCTTCGTGACGATGTCGCGCCACCAATTCATGGTAGGTCCTCGGAGCAACGACACGGTGTAACTAAATTTTGCCACGTTCGACGAGACGTATTTGGCGTCGAATAATACATTTATCGTGAAGTGCCACGCCTGAACCGTCGGACCACCCTGTTCACTCCGGTCGAAACATGGCGGACGCCGCGGCTTGAGCGGCATCGGTGAAGGGAGTGCCGACTCGTCGATTGGCGTTGTAATGTTGACGCGACGTTGGCTTTCAGTTGCATTCGTCGCCCCGGGGTGTGTCGTCCCGTGGTCGTCGCAAACGTCGTTGCGCGCGACGCCATCACTAGCAGCGCTCGAGTGTTGTCCCACGCTCTTGTGTCGGGATGTGTATGGTGCAGCCGGTGCTGGTGTTCCTTGCGTTTGTGTTGTCAAACATTATATGTTTATATTGTGTAGGCTATAGTGGGTTTAGCCTTAGGGGGTACAGCTTTGTTAGGGTTTCCTACTTGTATCCCCCTCCTACCTAGTTTCATGCATTCTCGTTCTATTCTAGATTCTAACATGGTATCACGAGCCTAGGTTGCTACCTAGGACCGCTTTCTACTATGGGCCCACTATTCCGCTAGAAGCGCCCTCGTGCGCCCTACCTTACGTGTGCCCTCGTGCGCCTTTCTCTGCTAGTGCGCCTTCGTGCGCCCTCGTGCGCCCTCGTGCGCCCTCGTGCGCCCTCGTGCGCCCTCGTGCGCCTTTCTCTGCTAGTGTGCCTTCGTGCGCCTTCGTGCGCCCTCGTGCGCCCTCGTGCGCCTTCGTGCGCCCTCGTGCGCCCTCGTGCGCCTTCGTGCGCCCTCGTGCGCCCTCGTGCGCCCTCGTGCGCCCTCGAGCGCCCTCGTGCGCCCTCGAGCCGCCCCTGCAGGTCCGTCAGGCCCCCGAGCTGCCTCTGCAGACCCGTCAGGCCCCCCCCGAGCCACCTCTGCAGGCCCGTCAGGCCCGAGAGCCGCCCCTGCAGACTCGTCAGGCCCGCGCGCAGCCTCTGCCCGACCGCGCGCCGCCCCTGCAGGCTCTTGCCGCCCGCCGCGTCGCCCTGCCCGCGGCGTCGCCGCCTGCCCGCGGCGTCATCACCTGCCCGCGATGAAGCCCCTGCCCGTGGCGTCGTCGCCTGCCCGCGGCGTCGTAGCCTGCCCGCGGCGTCGTCACCTGCTCGCCGCGTCGCCCTGCCCGCGGCGTCGCCACCTGCTCGCGGCGTCGCCCTGCTCGCGGCGTCGTCACCTGCTCGCTCCGTCGCCCTGCTCGCGGCGTCGTCACCTGCTCGCCGCGTCGCCCTGCCCGCGGCGTCGTCACCTGCCCGCGGCGTCGTCACCTGCTCGCCGCGTCGCCCTGCTCGCGGCGTCGTCACCTGCTCGCCGCGTCGCCCTGCCCGCGGCGTCGTCACCTGCCCGCCGCGTTGCCCTGCCCGCGGCGTCGTCACCTGCCCGCCGCGTCGCCCTGCCCGCGGCGTCGCCACCTGCCCGCCGCGTCGCCCTGCTCGCCGCGTCGCCCTGACCTAATCCGCGCCTGGCCTCTGGAGCAGCCGCCCCTGGCCACTGGAGCAGCCGCCATTGCAGGAGCCGCCCCTCGCCCCTGGAGCAGCCGCCCCTGCAGCAGCCGCCCATGGCCCCTGGAGCAACCACCGCTGCAGCAGCCGCCCCTGGCCCCTGGAGCAGCCGCCACTGCAGCAGCCGCCCCTGGCACCTGGAGCAGCTGCCGTCGCGGCCCGGCCTCGCCCTGCAGCAGCTGCTGCGGAGCTCCCTGCTGCGGCCCGGCCCCGCCCTGCAGTTGTAGCGGCCCCGCTGTCGCCACCGTCTTGCGCCTGCCGCGCCGACCACTGGTGAGCATTGCCCTGCCAGCACTGCTACCGCTGCTACTGCTGCTACTGCCTTTTCTACTCCCACTGCTACTGCTCCTGCTGTTAC